TACGAGGCAGGCACAAGAATTACCCAACTGTAGAACAGAGCATGGATGTCCTGTAACCGGTATTACAAGGAGGGCACGAATAAATTACCCAACTGTAGGAACAGAGCATGGATGTCCTGTAACCGGTATTACGAGGAGGGCACGAAGCAATTATCCAACTGTAGGAACAGAGCATGGATGTCCTGTAACCGGTATTACGAGGCAGGCAGAGTCTCCCAAACTCAACTGTAGAAGCAGGGAAAGACCTTTTGCAACCAGAATTAATGAAAAGAGAGGCATCTACTGCACTCCACCATAGGAACAGGGCATTGTCATCCTGAACCCGTCATTATGAGGAGGACCCCATGTAGGCTGGACCTGCTCCAACCGATTACTTTATTATTCTGTATATTGTTTTCCACCTGGGAAAAAGCATCCAGGGGAAATGGGAGGGAAACCAACTGAGTGGATAATCATGAGTATGCTTTGTAAAATAAATTTTTAAACTCACTCAGAAGGAATTCTCCATGGTCCACCACTCCGTTGACTGTGAAGTGGTAAGGACTCCTGTTCTCCACTAGAATAAAAAAGGGAGGAAAATGCAGTCCAGAGTAACATCACACTGGAGACGGTGTAATTGGTGTCCACAGTTCCCTATCTTGAAAAGCAGACTTACCCTGATTTATTCAATCAAAGGGTTGCCTTGGATGGGCAGAAATCCACTTCTGCTTTACCCATGAAGTCCTTGAGTGATAATCTGCCATAGATAAAACTGATTGATATTGAGTACATATAATCTGGGTAAGCGACCAATGGTCTTACAGAAACACCCCATCTCTACAGTGCCCGTTATATAGTAACTATAAACTAGTATGGGTTTGAGGCAGGCAATACCCATTATCAGCAGTAAGAAGTAGGGTTTCTGAAAAAATAAACATAAATGAAGTGTTAATACTTACCCCATTCCAAGGCAAACTGATGTGTGTAAAATTGACACTGGAGGAAGACAATATCCACTAGAGGAATATAAAGCCAGGTCATGCAGATAATGAGCAACAAAGGTATTGGAAATAGTCCATATTCCAGCCTGAATGATTTCTTTCAAAGGAAGCTGAAGTTGTGCAGCCAAGGACATTGTGATGTGATAAATCTGATGGGAAGAAATGTTGACCTTCCATGGATAAGTCCAAATATGCCAGCCTAATGAGTTCACAAACCCAACCAGTAAGCATGATAGTGGCCAGATCATGGGAAACTGAAGGGCTCCAGGGAATAAAACGTCAGGAATGTAAAACCCCCCGAAAGAAGACAGTACGTATCACATACCACTTTAAGGAGTGAACCAGACAAAGAAGCTGACCAGGATCAGAATGAGAGTATAGGTGGGAAATGATAGGTAAGGAAATGGGTGGGAAAGTCAAAACATTGACAGCATAGGTCTTATGGAGGATGGACCAGTTGGGATAGAAGATGACATAGGAGGAATGGTAAAGGATTGAGTAACATTAATGGCATAAATCTGAACAACAATGACTGCAAGCAAAGAGGAGAATGAAATTGGTCTTAAGGAAGAGAAGATAGATGGAACATGAAGGCAAAGGTTGAAATGGAGAAAGGGTGCAAAAATCACATTGAGATCCTAATAAGCAATTCAAAGGAACATAAAAGGAGGAGAAGGACAGGGTAAGACAAATCCAGATGAAACCTGGAGAAACAGAAGGAGGTTGACAAAGCTGCCCAACAGCTAGACATGGATGAAGCAGACAAGCCTTTGTCAAACAACCAAGTGAAGAATAAGGAAAGATGAGTAACATAAGGGTGGGAGGGAGAGAAACCTCAGTAAAGAGACCAAAGTCAGAAGGTATACTATTGTCCGTGATAAATAGACATGGAAGAAGGTCTAATGGATCAGGAAAAGAAAGATGCAACATGTGGAGTTTGTCCCTGGGCTGAGACAATGGACCTTACAAAATCCATGCATGAAGACAGAGAGTGGTGATATTTGTGGAATGTGGGAGACCACTCCATTAAAGAGAATCTTGTTGAGAGATATATGATTCACAAAGCACACGCACAGAAATAAGTCGACTTGACCACTGTTCCAGGAAAATGATGTGGAATTTATCAGTTTATGTATTCTGCAGTATTTACAACAAGAATTTCCCAAAGTAACAAGATTGCACTTTGAATCTGTGAAAATGTTTATTACAGTATATAGTTCAGAGCCAGGCCAATAAAAATCACAAGTGTTTGAATATTGGTCATCCTTCTGGAATGTTTGGAATCTAACAGTATACCGTACAGGCATACAAAGATAATTGTCTTTAATTCAGAATATCGAGGTACCTATTGTTGCAAGATTTATTTTGGGAATGAAAAGAGAAAAGATTCTGAAAAGGTCTGCCCTTAATGGTGTGGTGCCCTTTTTCTTGAGATGCCTATTAATCTAGGTTCTTCTGTACATAATATTAATGAACATGCAAAACAATTAAATTTACCGAAAATATAATGTAATAGTCTATATCTAACTTATCAAAGTCTGAGCACTGATGGCATGAAATACACAATTCTTCCATGTGTAAATAAGAGCAAAGCTACATCTGAACTGGGCCTACCACAGGTATATCAACCTGGTGTGAAGTGTACATATTGAGAAACTTACCACAGAGCCCCTGAGAGGACTGGAAGAAAGGAGAAGAAGAAGAACAATTCTCCACCAAAGTGAATGACGTGTCAGCACATCACCTGGTGGAAGGTGCTGGAAGAGAGCCCAAAGTTTACTCAGAAACATTGCCGTGTTGAAAAAAGGAAGAAATAGCTGGCCAAACAAATGAATCGAGCTCTCTGCAAATTAAAGCCTGTACCTACTCTATAAATATAGTCAAACCATGAGCTCTCTGCAAATTAAAGCCTGTACCTACTCTATAAAT